AAACTAAAAAAAGGATTATTCAAATTTCAGATTTGTAGAGAAAGTAATGTTTTAGTTATCTCATTTGGATTCTCAAAAATGTCAGCTTAAACCAAGTGTAGCAATGGCATCAGACAGTGGGTGCAAAACCCCTTTATGTTCCAGCAAAGTAATAACAGAGGACATGGCCCACCGCTGGATGTTCTCCGCCGTATCTCAGTCCATGAAGGAACATGCACTGGGCACCTACTGTCTACACACACTTAACTGTTCTCCAAGAGCCCTCGTCTGACTGGAGAGAAAGATGTGAACAGATCGTAAGGCAGTTTGGGAAGAGCAGTGTGGGTATATAAGTGTGTGTGTGTGTGTGGGCGAGTGTGTGTGCGTGCGCGCGTGTGCACGCACACACGCATTTCTTTGTATCTATATGTAGAAATATTCACGGACCTGTGGGAAGGGGGGGAGGTTATGTGGGGTCAGTTCCTGAGTTTGAAACTGCTGGCTTGAACCACTGGTGCTGAATGGTATTATCACATTTTCAGAATAGAACATTCGAGATGACAGTATTAATACAGAGAAGGATCTTGTAGGAAACCTCGCTTTTTCCAGTTGTAATTTTAACTTATATGAAAATTGAAAGTTTTTATTACTAAGGATTTTGCAGTTACCCTGATGCCTTAAAAAATGCAGTGCATTGACACGGTTTTTACAGAGTAAATTTTATCATAATTTTAACCAATTTGATCACTTTAGTTTGGTTAAGGTTTGTTTTAAATTGTACTATTTGTTTCTGAGAAAATGTAATGGATTTTATTACGTATGCATGTCAGCCACTTTTAGACTAAACCTAATCACTGGGGTAACCTAGAGTTCAAAGAGGTCAAATTTAAAAATTAAAATATTTTTTATACTTCAGGTTTTTTTGTTTTTTTCTTTTTTAGTATCACCTCTCATCTCTGAAACAGTATTTTAATGGAGGTACTAGGGATTGAACCCAGGACCTCATGTATGCTAAGCATACGCTCTACCACTGAGCTACACCCTCCCCCTGAAACATTTTAAAAAATGTATATCCAGTGAAGAAATTCATGCTTGTTCATTAAGTTTGGGTGCTGGTGAGATAAAGTAATATTTCTTGTCAGTTGAAGAGTGATTTCCCTAAACCCTAAATGAAGAGGTGCCTCCCACAAAGATAAAAATAAAAGTGAACTCACATATAATGTCCAACAGTGAGTGATGTTAAATATCAGAAATGTACAGAAGTATTTGCTTGAAACAGAGATGACCGCGGAAACTGGACACTGGCTAATTTATAACTTGTGATACCATCAGTGCATAATTATTATCCAAAGATGGAACATACAAAGCTGATGTTTCAATATTTGTATAAATAGTGGTGGGAATAAACCTGCTTAACTCTCATCTCATTCCTTAGACGAGGTTAAATGCTGGAAGGGATCAGAGTTTCCCACTCCAGGCATCCAGGTTTCATCGTTTACTGGAGGAAAGACCTTGAGTGGATTAGAAGCAGCTGGACTAAAGTGCTTGCCTGCGCCTTCTCCTTAGAAAGGGAGCTCACGGCCTCTGGAGCGAGTGGCCTGAAGGATGCTTGACTGGGAAGGACCAGGAGCCTATTCCAGGCATCAGAAAATATACATGATTTTAGATGACCTTCCTGAGGTTATCTTTGATAATTCAGATAGTTGATTGCCCAGAAATAGTGGGTACTTCGCTCTTGAGTATGTAGTATTTTCAGGACATTTAGTTTTTCATTATTTAAGTCAGGCAAATCACAAATTTATCTAGTCTCATCCTAATGATGGGTAAAAAATTGTGTTTAAAGTGGAGAGGAAGAGCCGCGGGCAGGGTATAGCCCAGTGGTAGAGTACATGCTTAGTAAGAACGAGGTCCTGGGTTCAAGCCCCAGCACCTCCATTAAAAAACTAAAAAATAAACCTAATTACCTGCCTCCCCCAAAAAATAAAGTGGAGCAAAAGAGGCCAAGACTTAAAATTTGTTATATCTAGTCTTTTTTGTGGTTGACCATGAATATTCTACAAGATGCCTGGGGATCTTCAGAAAAACCATCACATCGGTGCAGGTGGACACTTCTTTGAGGATTGGCACCAAAATCCAAGTCTCCAAGTCTCAACTAGCACACAACTGTGAGGTTTATGGGAGGCTCTTTTATGATGGAAATCTCCCTTTTGTTAAGATGAGTGAATGTTGAAAAATGTGATGCAGACACTTTTTAGGAAGATAGCTGTTTGAGTATCACTCACAGTAGTGCAGGATAGGTCTGTATCATGTACTTGCTTATTTGGTTAAGAAGCAGCATTTAATTGACTCAAAATGCCCCTTATGAACGTGGTAAAAAAAATCTTTCCAGTAAGTGGTTAAAGCTGCAGCGCTGTGTTTTCCCTTGGTGACGATGGCTGCCGCGGGGTCACCCGCTGTGACTAGCAGGCAGCTCTGGACAGGCCGGGGCCGCTCTGTGCCGTCCCTAGAGTAAGTCTGGGTCCTGCTGGCTTACGGTGTGGCGGCCTGAGCTGGCGGTTACCCACCAGCTCACATGCGCAGGGCGGGGGTGCTGCCCTGGGTTTTCCCGCGGTCACTGCAACGTCAGCCGTGCTGCTCTCTCCATTCTGTTCCCTCCTGGTTTGTATCCTGGCCTGGTACTTAAAAAAGTAAGAGACTAGGCATCCGTCTTGAGTCACTCTGTCTTTCAGAAGATAATTCTATCAGAAGGTCATGCTTTTTCTCACTGATAAGCCACATCCTTCTCCATTTTCAGTTCTGCCTTACTTGCAAACAGAAGCATTGCCGTTGGTCTTAAAATGTACTTGCATAGTGTCCTTTTCCATAACGGGGGACATCCTATGTATTCAAGGGCTGGTAAAGTCTGTTTCTTCTTGAGGGGCATCCATTTTAAGCCCTGATTTAGCACAGACAAACTACTTGACCCCGAGTCCCCCACTCCCATGGGGCCGCCAACACCCCATGCAGTCAACTCTCAGTCCTCGGAAAGGAGCAAGAGTGGGTGGTCTTCCTCCAGCACAGGATGTCAGCGGGGATGGGTCAGCTCAGAATCCAGCTCACGCTAACCAGAGAGAAACCAGGGTGCTGGGGCCGGAGCACCCACCCGCTACCCACATCCTGCCACATGCTGGGGACAGTCCGGGAACGCCCAGCCTGCAGGCACGCCCTGTGTGGCCGTGCCCTGCGGGTCTGCAGGGCCCTTGCCTCAGGACTGAGGGAAGAGCCCGGAGATGGGGACAAAGACCAGCGGTTTACTGGACAGGGGATCTTACACATCCAAAGCAGGGTCCTGGAGCAACACCCACCGTGTGCAGCAGACAGTAGGCAGGACGCGGCAGCTGCTTTGCTACCAGGAGGAGAGGGAGGTCACCAGTTATAGGGGGAGTCGACCTCATCGGTTACCAAGGAAACCGGCAGAGGAGCGCACCCCTCACCACCCCTCTGATCAACTGTCATAGCGGATCTAAAGATTAGAGCTAGCTGGGCAGGAACGCAGGCATTTACTGATTATGCTCTGTGATGAAGAGGGCAGGTCAGTCCTGTGCGTCATGTGGGGGTGAGGCAGGGGATGGACGGAGAGCAGGAGGACAGCCGTCCTGGGGCGGCCTGATGGAACCCCGTGTTTCTTCTGAACTTTGGCATCTGCTTTTACCACCTCCCTCCACTGCCCCTGCTCTCCTGGTCCATTTCTTCTGCTCCTTCTGGGTGGGTGAGTGAGTGCAGATGGAGAAAGGACGTGGGTGTGGTTTTTCTAATTAAAGATTTTTTTTTATCAAGAGGGTTTTTAAATTGTAGAGTTAAATCTGACCTGTTAACGTTGTAAGTTCTGTGGCTCACGCAGAATGACAGCCAGGTCGTGGGCAGTTGTTAGCGGCAGCCACTTCCCAACGCAAAGCTGGTTTCTCCAGAAGATAGTGTTACCGCAGAAGCTCATCCTTGCGGGCTTGGTTGTCTGCGGTTCACCTCTAATTTCAAACCCACGCCTATATGACTTTCATTTGCTCTAAATTCCTTTGTATTCATATTATTTCTACCAAGCAGTGACCGTCTTGGGAAATACCATGCATAAGGGTGATTTGGAGGCGAAGGGAAACTTTGTAAACTGTCGGAGGTGAAGCGAGCGTCCCCACCTGATTTCTCATAGCCCCATATTTCCATCTGGAGATAAGTGACTGGATTTTTCAATACCTGTCCACCTTTATGAACATACCCCTCTTAGAAGATGATCCACCGATTCTGGTTTCCATTTCTAGTCAACAGTGATTCATTGATTTTGACTGTGAAGTAAATCAGCCGGTGCTTAAGAAGGTATCTTAGCACCAGTGAGTCGCAGAGGCGGCCTCTGGTTCTCACTCCCTCTCAGGGAGAGGGAGGCTATGGTTCCCCTCTTAGGGGAGTTGAGTTTTACACTACTCTACAGCCAGCCTTTGGATCATACAACGTTAAGATCTGACGCGATTATTCTTAATTGACTTGGGTTTAGACAGACAATTCTCACGTTTGGTTTTACCTTCAGACTTCATGACACGCAGGCTTTGAGAAGTGAGCAAATTCAATTTTTCTGCTGCCTATCCTGTAGCATCACTCTGAGTACAAACTGCAGAGCATATAAAGTTATGTCTCGTCTCTTGCTGAGTGCATGAAGTCCTGCCGGAAGGGTTCCCTCTGAGCAAGCCCCTCTCCCCCTCCGCGTCCCCCAGTCTCTCCCTTTTCTCCCCAGAGTCTCTCTCACAACCCAGGCAGAAATTGTAGGATCCACACATTTCTTCAGCAGGTATTTACTGAGGGCTGCGCACCAGCACGAGCACTGGGAATGCAGCTGTGCATCCGAGAGACACAGCCCCTGCCCTCTCCCAGAACTCGCAGTCTGGTGTGGGGGTTGGGGTCCCCCCCCCCGCCTGTCTTTGTAGATGGATTTACTGGGACACAGCCACACCTGCTCACCTGTGCGCGTCTCTGGCTGCTTTTGCGCCATAACGCAGATGCTAGTACCTGCGCCACACGTCCTGCGGTCCCCAAGCTTGCGATCTCCATGGCTCGCCCGTTCACAGGAGGGCGCGCTGACTCGGCCCCGGGGGCGGCGGGCAGGTGCGCGCAGGCAGGAGCCTGCAAAGCCTGAGGGACCCCGGGAAGGGGTGGCAGCTCTCCTGCGGGGAAAGACCCGGCCTGGAACCTGGAAGCAGGGGCAGGGACAGCTGATGTTTGAAGTTTGGAGACGTCACCGTGGCTGCTGCGCTGAGAGATGGTGGGGAGCAGTGCCCGTGCCGGGGCGAGCGCTGCGGGGTCAGAGCCTGGGCGCCGCCTGGGCTCGCCTGTCAGCCCTTCTGCCAGCTGACCCTGACGTTTAGCGATTCCCCCGTCAGCTGTTCCGTCTATAAATTAGGGGTGGTGGTCTGTGGGGTGAAATTAGTTAATACACGTGAAGCCCCTACAACACAGAGTTGGCAGCCGTCCCTGTCATCCGACTGGGACGAGAGGGTGGCCATGAAGGCGTGGGGACAGGTGTCAGACTCAGGAGCTGCACAGCCAGAGAGTTGGCAGGAGTCAGACTTCAGAGCGAGAGGCTCGGATCACGTGTTGCTTTGCGTTTGATGAGTTGGCTGATGGACTCCGGTCCCTGAGGTGGGGAAGCAGGTTTGTGGGGCAGGGTGAGTGGTGCGTTCATTCCGAGCCATCTTACATTGGATGCCAAGTTGCTTCAAGTAGAAGTGTTCAGGGATTCGTTGACTGAGGCGGGGAGGTGGGCAGTGTGGTGGGCTGAGGAGATGGACGCAGGCTGACCCACGGGGACCTGGGCACGTCACCTGGAGGAGGAGGAGATGTCCCGAGTGAGGGCGGGGTGGCAGGTGGACTCCTGACAGATCTGCAGAGAACAGCAAGAGTGAAAGGTCAGACAAGGCAAAGATCCAAACTACTTCTGGAGGAAGATAAGCATGAAGTCTGAATCCGTTAAACATTCTCCTGTTGAGGCCAGTGGGTTCGAGGAATATTTAAATTCGCGAGTCTTATGTCAGCACTGGCCAGCCTGAACCACAGCGTGTGTCTCACAGTTTGGGCACCTTGATTTCATGTGCCGTCACAGTCCTTGTCCTCCTGATAAGCAGTTTCCCCAGTGGGACGTTGGGCGCCACTGTGGGTGCTCTGGTTTGGGTGTTGACGTCTGATGACGTCAGTCTACTTGTCCATGTTTCCCGACATGTGCCGCCCCTCCGTCTCCACCTCCCCAGTGAGCCGCTCACGGGAGCCTTGAGGTGAGAGGCTGAGACCCAGAAAGCTGAGTCGGATGACATACCCAGCGGTTCTTCCCCCTTGCTGTGCTGTACCTGGTTCAGCGTCAGCAGCTGGAGTCCAGTATCTTGGAGGTTTTCATGACTTCTCTGTTTTAATTTGCTTACAACACCGCCGTGAGTGGGTGTGATTTTGGAAAGAACCAGGAGACAAACTGGAGAAACGGACACTTTTCCCATCCCCAGAATCACCCCTCCGCTTCGGGGCCCACCTCTCTGTGGCAGAGTTGTGCTTGGCGGCCTCTCCTTAGGCTGGGTGACTTCCCAGGAGCAGCTGCCTGAACACCAGGTCTCTGGCGAGGCCACCCTGGCCCCCGGTGGGGCTCACAGGCTAGGCTTCAGCGCGATCCCTGCTATCCAGGTGTGTGATGGTCAGAAGCCTGATCAGAGGCTCCCCCACCTGTGACACGTGCCTGAAGAAGGCATCACACTGACACGGTCGGGCTGAGCACAGTATTTGCTCTTTAGTTTTGTGTTACAGGAGGAAAACTGTGGAAAAACTTTGAAACGGACCCAGAAGATTACTGGGTACATTATCTGATTCAGCCTTCCAGGTTGTCTCACCCTTTCATTATCTCTGAGCTATTTTACAATCCTGTAAATGATGGAAAACTGACAGTAACCAGAGAGTCTCCATTCTGCTGGAATGGAGACCGTGTGCTGTGGAAAGCAACCGGTTATTGCCCTCTGGGTATTGACCAGTTTCACCAGTTTTGCATCTACCTGTAAATTCTTTGCAGTATTCTTGATGTTTATATATTTGTGTGTTCTTTGGATTCACCTTACAGGTTACAACATCTTACAGTTCCTTTATTAATTAATGAGTCAGTTAAACATCTATGTCCCACATTTAGGAAAAAAATCTGTTATTGTGCATACACGTGTATGTTTCTACCAGTGTTGATACATGCATGTTCTGTCTCTAGAAAGACTCACAGCAAAGTGCTGGCTCTGAGTGCCTCTGCAGAAGGGAAGGCGGAAAGCTTGCCCTTCATTCTCTAAATAAACTACCAGCAGACAGCAACGTGCAGGCCAGCATCATACCTGGAGATTTACTCTTGAGCTCTTTAAAGGGTATGTGTGTGTGTTTTAAATGGAGGCACTGAGGATTGAACCCAGGACCTCATGCATGCTAAGCACCCACTATACCACTCAGCCATACCCTCCTCCCTCTTTAAAGTTTTTGTCTTTACTTTTATAGCTCTAACACTGTAGAAAAATGTTGGTCGGATGGTACTAATGCTGTCACGAATCTATTAAGGAATCAGGTGATGTTGGTGTGAGGGGCGGGACAGGCCAGGTAGCCGATTCTGGGTTCTGGGTTCTGGGTTCCGCCTGCCTCTCCTGGTCCCTGCCGCGCACACCTGCGGCCTCCTGGTCTGGTTCTGGCGGACTGCACTCCCTTCAAGGCGGGGGGGGGCTTGAGCCCGATGCACGCTGAAATCACCAGGGGAGCTTTCGAAACTCTGGCTGCCCTGACCAATCAAATCCCGGTGTCTGAGGGAGCGGGCCGCCCTGACCAATCAAATCACAGCGTCCGAGGGGTGGGACGCCCTGACCAATCAAATCCCGGTGTCTGAGGGGTGGGACGCGGACATCAGTGTTTTGTGAAAGCCCCGGAGGTGAGGCTCACGTGGAGAAGTCCGGCTCTGTGCCCAGAATGGGACTGACTGAGCAGACACTTCACATATACGCCCCAGAATCAGAAGCACTTGGGATTTCTGTTGGAAAGGTCTGCTTAGGGCAGGGGCAGCACCCAGACGGAAAAGGCGGCCTCGACGTAATATCCTCACGGGCAAGTCCGTTTCCGCTGGGCGACCTTGGAGTGGGGCCGGCTGGGTCTCGGGTGTGGTTTAAAAGCCCCCGCTGACTTGGTGACAATCATTAGAGCTTTTTTTTTTAATAGTTCTGAATTCAGCCAAACTCTCACTGAGCAGAAGGCGTTGAATCAGGAAGGCTGAGTGCACATCCCAGCCCTGACACCCTGCCGTTAGGGGCCCGAAGCCAGCCTAGTGATGGGTGACGTCTAGCACCACTGCCACCGCGTGGCTGCGCTCCTGACGAGACAAGTGCGAATGCCGCGTCAGACGCCATGACCTACTAAGGGTCCGTTTAATCAAAGGTCCTAGAACCTCCTTGCTCTGACCCATAGTAACAATGTGCTTTATTAAGGAGTCTTTGATAGGGGGTTCTGTTCATAAGGGGAGAAGTAAAAAAGACAGCCACCCGTTTATCTTGGAGCGGTGAGGCCAGGAAATAGTTTCTTTCTTGGTGCCCGGTGCTTCCCGGGAAAGGGCCCTTCTAAGGGGAGGTCCTGACTCAGGGCCTGATCCTGTTTCACGTTTCCAGCCGTCAGACTGTTGCCTCAGCCCTGTTTAAAATGTGCACATTG